TTTTATTTATTTATGTGGTGCTGAGGATTGAACCCAGGGCCTTGCACCTGTTAGGTGAGCGCTCTACCGCTGAGCCACAGCCCCAGCCCCTCTGCTAAGCTTTTTTAGTGCATCTTACTCTCTAGGGAATTAGGATGGTTCACATTCACTCATTCCACAACAAATGATTAACTCATATAATCTGCCAGTGCATGGTATCTACTATATGCTACTTTTCTTCAAATGTTTTATTCTAAGCATAATTCTAAACGTATCACTTCACTGGTCAAAAGTCTTCAATGACGTACTTATTAAATTAAGTCTCAGTGCCTTAGCTTGGCATCCAAGGCCCTCAGTTTTGTCCTTATCTTTCATTTCTGGTCATATTTTTCTTACACTTATGCTATGTTTCAGCTAGAAACAGTGTACCTAGGAGTCAACCATTATATCCTTACAACTTTACTTTTATTTCCCCTTCACTTCCCTCCTATTCCCTCTAACTTGTCCTTTGATTAAAAAGAAAAAAGTCAACCATTCTCACTGTCGATAATGTTTCAGCTCTAGAATCAGTTTGAAAAACACAAACTATAAGTACATGACACGGCTAACACTGCTGAGGTTTATGTACTGCTTAGTTCACTTGACAGGGTAGGCTCTTTCTTTACCCACTCACCAAATTAGTCATATAACTCATTGCCATCTATCAAAAGTATGCCCATCTTATATTCAGTATAAAAAGGCAAAACACTCTTCATAGAACTCATTATTTCTGTTACATTTTGTTTTGTATTAAAATTGTATGGTAGCACATGCCTGTAATCCCAGTGACTTGGGAGTCTGAGACAGGAGGATCGAAAGTTCAAGGCCAGTCTCCACAATTTATCAAGGCCCTAAGCAACTTACCAAGACTCTGTTTGAAAATAAAAAATAAAAAGTGTTGGGATGGGGGCTGGGGTTGTGGCTCAGTGGCAGCAAGCTTGTCTCTCACATGTAAGGCACTGTGTTCAATTCTCAGTACCACAAAAAATCAATAAACAAAATTAAAATATCGTGTCCATGTATAACTAAAAAATACTTTTTTAAAAAAGGCATTGGAGTGCAGCTCAATAGTTAAGCATCCATGGCTTCAATCCTCAGTGCCAAAAAAACAAACAAACAAAAAAAGTACGTTTTTCATATTTCCAACTAAATTGAAAATTTAAAAGAACAGATTCATTTTTGTATCTCACAGTGCTGATTAATTATAGTACTAAGTTAACATTTATAGAATTTATAGTATTGAGTTAATATTTGTAGAATGAGCAAAGCTATGTCTCACTGACCATCTAGATATAAGTTCTAGGTTGGCAAATTCTATAATGTATACTTCTTCTATATTCCAAAAGCAGTAAAGCCAAATCTCTTATCCTTAAGTATTTGTTAATAGCCATTTACTAATGCTTCCTATATGATAAGAAGGTAAGCACTCTTTATATACATATGTGCACTAGAATGTATGCTCTCTGAGGGTAGAAATTTATGTTTGCTGATATATTTGCAACATGTAGAAAAGTGCCTGGTACATAGTAGTAGTCAATTAATTTTTGTTGACTTCATAACAAGGTGGTATTATTATACTAGTTTTAAAATGAAGAAACTAAAGTTTAGATAGGGTAAGTAACTTAACATACAGAATATACCTAAGCCAGGATCTGTATGTTGATCTCTCTCTAAAGCCTTAGCCCTTTACTACCAGCCTGTACCTATTTGGTCTCCAGTAGTATACTGTCATGATCTACCAGTTGGTTTCAGGCCCTTTGTATAAAACTGATGAAAAGAGCCAAATCCCATTATCCCATTCTTTCTTGGACTACTCTACTATACAAAATATGAAGTTAGTCAGAATAATGCACTTTTCACAGTGAGGATAAACAGTGTTCTCAAATGTTAATGTATAGAATAATCATCTGGGGTTTGTGTTTAAAATGTAGATTATAAAGTCTTGCCTCTAAGGATTCTGGTTTTCAATAGCTCAAGAGAGACAGAACTGAAATAAACGAGGTTAAACCAAGGACTGGAATTCTAAATAACTTGGAACTAAGGATGGGGGTAAGGACAGAATAGCAATGGTGTCCCAGCAGCAGAGTGCAAGGATGGTTTGAATACCATTTTTCACCCTTCTGTTATTCAATAGGATATGAAAAAGCAGGATTAGGACTTAGTTTCCTGAAGAAGTAGGCCTTAATCAACTGGTTTGGAGGCATGGAATGACAACTCTCTAAGGATGTGAAGGGACATGGAGAAAAGTGAAGAACACTTGGGACCCACATGGTGGTAGTCTCAGTACCTGTGGAAGAAATAAGGTACAATTTATAAATATTTAGTACCACTGGATAAGACAAAGCCCTTGAGAATCACTAGCAGAAAAATTTCAGAAGGTTTTGCTTATTTCATTTTAGACGCTAAAGACTGAACCCAGAGGTGCTTTACCACTAAGCCACATTTCCAGTCCTTTTTATTTTTGAGACAAGGTCTCACTAAATTGCTGAGGCTGATCTCAAACTTGTGATCCTCCTGCATTAGCCTCTCAATTGCTGTGATTACAGGTGGTGCCACTCTGCCCAGCCAGATGTGCTTATTTGATAGGAGAGAAAAAAAGGTAAATAGTGTAACTGTTTACTGGTCTACAATGGACCCAGGAGGGGAGAAACCGAGCTGCCAAAATGGGTGGTTGCAGCAAAAAAGGGAGTAAGTCAATAACTGGGGTTCTTACTTGTAGGTGCAGTGAGGTCCTCCACTGTATCCCAGTCTGCTGCTGCCAAAGAGTGAGTAAGTAATAAAATGCCTAAAACCTCTCCACTGAGTCTTCCAAGTTCTTCCTTTGGGATCAGTAAACAGTATACTTGGGGCATTTGTAGCCCTGAGGTTGAACACAGTGGTAAACAAAATTGATAAGGTTCCTGTTTTCATGGAGCTTATAGACTAGTTGGGGAGGGAGATGTTAAGTAAATGATCACATGTGTACTTTTCTTTCTTTCTTTTTTTTGCATTGCTGGGGCTTGAACCCAGGATCTCACATATGCTAGGCAAACACTTTACCACTGAGCAACTTCCTCACCTGCCACATGTACACATTTTTTTTTTCTGTAGAAAGAAAGATGGGTCAAAGGAGGCTTTCCTTGAGAAAGTCTCATTTAAGACGACACCTGAGGAATAAATGGAAATTAGTCTGGCACAGAGAGGAGGAAATACTGTATTTTTTGTTTGAAAACAGCATTAAGTCATAAGTCATTCTGTTCATTAAATATAACCATTGTAAGTGGAATGGGATAGTAAGAGAGGACAGAAGGAGATATTCCCTTAAAAAGAAAGAATATCATGTGAAAATGAAGACAAAAGCCAGATCACGCATCCAGAAAAATGAGGCCACTAAAGGATTTTAAATGATAAATGATATCACAATATCTGCAGTTACAGAAAAATTACTTTGAATGGCTGTACAGAGAATGGAACAGAAGGGAACAATGATAGATATGGAAAGACCAGTCAGAAGGCTATGTGGCAATCTAGATGAGAGACTGATTAATTTAAGGTGACAACAATATCAATAAAAGTAGAAAATGATGAAATATATTTAAGGGGTAAAATTAACAGATCTTGCAGTGGAATGCACGTGGAATATAGGAAAGAAAGATGCCAAGGTTAACTATAAGGTTTCCATCACAATCTAGTAACTAAACAGTAGTGCTAATTATTGAGATAGTAAATACAGGAAAATAAGCAAGTTTAGGGAAGAGGATCATAAATTCACATTTAGATATGCTGATCTTAGGATTGTTTAACATTACAGAGACATCCTAAGATCAATCAGGTGGATATAAAGCCTAAAGCTCAGAAAATCTGGGCTGGGGAAATAAAATCTATGAGTCATAGTATAAGATGACATTTGAAGTCAAGGATGTATCTGAGATAGTGATCATGAAAAGTAAAAAAAAAAAAAAGAGAGAGAAAATGAGACTAAATAAGAAATATCAATGTTCAAAGTTCAGAGAGCAGAGGAGGGGACTGTATTTAGGAATGAACGAACAAGACCATAGATCATTTTAACAAGATAAACTACGACTGGAGTTCAAAATTGGCTTCTTCAGCTGTTCTTCAAATTCCAGCTAAAAGATTTTTTAAAAAGCTCTTGATTTAATAAAATTATAATGCCCCTATGCTGGCTCACTGGTTAGAATATTTTAGCCTTTTCATAAAAATAGATGAGAATGAGGGTTGGGGTTGTGGCTCAGTGGTAGAGCACTTGCCTTGCATGTGTGAGGCACTGGGTTTGATCCTCAGCACCACATAAAAATAAATAAATAAACGTATTTCTTCCATCTACATTTAAAAAAATATTAAAAGAAAAAAAGTAGGTGAGAATCAAACTACTTACCTTCTAGTAAATGGTAAAGTGGGTCTACTAACTAAATAATATTTTATATTCTGAATTTTTTACAGAGTTAAAGGAGAAATGGTGATAAGTGAAGACAAATTGGAAAGGATGTCTTTTATAAATCATTATGAGACAAATCATTGTATGGGTTGAGGCACCAGGTTAACATCAGGCTGTCTAGTGAGACTAGTCCTGAGAGAATTATTAAATCTAAGGAACCATTTTTTTCATTCTTAAACATAAATGTTCTTATTAAATTATAAAAATAACATATACTTATTATAGAAATTACACTAAAGCATTAAAAACCATACCTATAATTCTAATATCCATAGATTACCATTGTTAATATTATCATGAATTTCCTTCCAGTCTTTTGCCCTCTACATATGCATACAAGGATGTTACAATTTGACTGCTTTAAGAAACTATGAATTAAACACAGAGTTTTTGGACAGAATGAACTGTAAGGTTAAATGACTACAATTGCAGAAATATCCCAACCTCTAAAAATATAGTAAAGCACTATGGTACAGAGAAGAGGGTTGCTTAGTGACAATGGTGGTGAAAATAACCATTTTTAGCAAGAAAAATGTTATACAATTACCATTCACTTGGTTGATTTCTGAGTTGGAGGACAGAATCTCATCTGCCAGCTTTTGTGCAGTAGGAAGAACTTCAGTGTGGTGTGCCGTGATTAAATATTGAATAAACTTCTGTAGCTGGTCCCTATTCATCTGGAAAAGGGTTTCCGAGATAGGAAGACGCAATTTGACTTGGTCTGGCTTCCGGATCCTGTAGAGTGAGAGTGCTACCACATGAGCACAGTAGAATATGTCCTTATTCCCACAGCCACATGTCACTGAAGTGATTTTGCATCGATCAAAACTGATTGCAACTTTGTAAGTCACTGCTGGTTCAGAAGCAGTGGGTGGCTCAGTTACTGTGCCACTCAGATGAAAGCCTAAGGAAACAACAATAAAAAAAGAAATTCCTGTTTAGAGATTCTATAGTAAGAAACTTTAAGAGTCTTACTTTCATCAATTCACAAACAATTTAATGAGTATCCCTTATGTGTGGTGTAGGCTTGCAATAGACACAGAGGTCAATAAAACTCAGGTACTGCTCTGAAGAAACACACAATCTAGAAAAGGAGTCCACAAACCTCCTAAACTAATATAAGAACTTTTGTTTGTACACTTGTACTTTCTACAGAGTTAAAGGAGAAATGGTGATAAGTTAAGACAAACTGTACTTTGTTAAATTTTTAAATTTTATTTTTTTTTGAAATGTTTATTTATTTTTGGAATTTGAGGATGAAGCCCAGGGGTGTTTTAGCACTGGGTCACATCCTCAGCCCTTTTTATTTTTGAGACATGGTCTCACTAAGTTGCTTAGGGTCTTGCTAAGTTGCTGAGGCTGGCCTCAAACTTGCAATCCTCCTACCTTACCCTCCCAAGTTTCAGGGATTATAGGTATATTCTATCCCACCTGTCCATATGTACATTTTTCTGGGGGGAGTGTTCATAGCTTCTACATTGTCACAAATATAAATAAGGAAAGAAACCCCATAAGAATTTCCTATAGTAGATTTTGAGCTCTAAATGGTAGGTAAAGTTAAGTCTACAATTAGTATCAGTAAAATCTAAAGGGAATGCTATAAATGAAAGTGAAACCAAAAGAATGCCACAAGGAAGGACAGGAGGATGATCAAGGACAACATTTATTCCTTAAACCATACAAGTGATGGGTGTGAGGGTGCACACATGTAATTCTATCTACTGGGTAGGCTGAGGCAAGAGCATCACAAGTTCAAGGCCAGCCTCAGTACCTTAGCAAGACCCTGTTCTCAAAATAAAAAATTAAAGCTCTCAGATGTAGCTGAGTGGTAAAGTTCCTCTGGGTTCATACCCAGTACTGGGGAAAAAATACAATTCCAAAATGGTGACCACATGGAATATCTTAAAGGCAAAAAATCCTTCTAAGATATGGAAGGCAGAGATTGGTGCAGTGAAACTACTTAGAATTCCATCTCTACTCAATAGACACAAAGCACCAATAACTTTGACAGGCAGACAGAATACATTTTTAAGTTACAACTAAACTGAAAAAAGTAAAACTAATAGCAATACATTCTATAATATTATTTGTTTATGGTTTACATGATGTGTATATATACATATATATGTAAAATTCTTCTGACAAGAATATGCATTCATTTAATCATTCAGTCATTCAACAAAAGTTTAATAAGACCTTAGGTATAGGACTTCTAGGCCTCGGGGTGGTAACAAAAAAACAAGGAGAACATCAAATATTTGTTAAGAACCTACTACATTCCAGAACTGTGTTGTGTATGTAATGTAACATCACAACAACCTTAAGAAGTCATTATTTTCCTTATCTTAAAAGAATGTAAAGTGAGGCTCAGAAAGTTTAAGTAATTTGTCCAAAACTCTAGCAAGTGGTAGATGTAGGATTAGAGTCAGATCTGACTAACATCACAGTTCATCACAGTTCCATTGTGTATATATGCCACATTTTTTAAATCCATTCATCCACTGAAGGGCATCTAGGTTGGCTCCACAGTTTAGCTACTGTGAATTGTGCTGCTATAAACATTGATGTGGCTGTGTCTCTGTAGTATGCTGATTTTAAGTCCTTTGGGTATAGACCAAGGAGAGGGATAGCTGGGTCAAATGGTGGTTCCATTCCCAGATTTCCAAGGAATCTCCATACTGCTTTCCATATTGGCTGCACCAATTTGCAGTCCCACCAGCAATGTATGAGTGTACCTTTTTCCTCACATCCTCACCAACATTTATTGTTGTTTGTCTTCATAACAGCTGCCATTCTGACGGGAGTGAGATGATATCTTAGAGTAGTTTTGATTTGCATTTCTCTAATTGCTAGAGATGATGAACATTTTTTTCATATATTTGTTGATTGTATATCCTCTTCTGAGAAATGTCTGTTCAGGTCCTTGGCCCATTTATTGATTGGGTTGTGTTTTTGGTGCTTAGCTTTTTGAGTTCTTTATATGCTCTAGAGATTAGTGCTCTATCTGATATGTGAGGGGTAAAAATTTGCTCCCAAGATGTAGGCTTTCTATTCACCTCACATATTGTTTCTTTTGCTGAAAAGAAACTTTTTAGCTAGAATGTATTCCATTTACTATTTCTTGGTTTTAATTCTTGCACTATAGGAGTCTTATTAAGGAAGTTGGGGCCTAATCCCACATGATGAAGATTAGGGCCTACTTTTTCTTCTATAAGACGCAGAGTCTCTGATTTAATTCCTAGGTCCTTGATCCACTTTGAGTTTTGTGCGTGGTGAGAGATAGGGGTTTAAGTTCATTTTGTTGCATATGGATTTCTAGTTTTCCCAGCACCATTTGTTGAAGAGGCTATCTATTCTCCAATGCATGTTTTGGGCACCTTTGTCTAATATAAGATAATTGTAATCTTGTGGGTTAGTCTCGGTGTCCTTTATTCTGTAACATTGGTCTTCCAGTCGTTTTGGTGCCAATATCATGCTGGTTTTGTTACTACTGCTCTGCTGTATAGTTTAAGATCTGGTATAGTGATGCCATCTGCTTCACTCTTCCTGCTAAGGTTTGCTTTAGCTATTCTGGGTCTCTTATTTTTCCAGATGAATGTCACGATTGCTTTTTCTAATTTTATGAGGAATGACACTGGGATTTTGATTGGAATTGCATTAAATCTATATAGTGCTTTTGGTAGTATGGTCATTTTGATAATATTAATTCTGCCTATCCAAGAGCAAGCTAGATCTTCCATCTTCTAAGGTCTTCTTTGATTTCTTTCTTTAGTATCCTGTAGTTTTCATTGTATAGATCTTTCACCTCTTTCATTGATTCCCAAGTACTTGAGTTTTTTTGAGGCTACTAGGGATAACAAGAACATATGTCAGCATGGTAAAGCTATCTACACTAAGCCTCAGGCCAACATTATTCTAAATGGAGAAAAATTAAAGGCATTCCCTCTAAAAACTGGAACAAGACAAGAATGCCCTCTTTATCCACTTCTATTTAACACAGTTCTTGAAACACTGGCCAGAGCAATTAGACAGACAAAAGAAATTAAAGGGATATGTATAGGAAAAGAAGAACTTAAATTAGCAGTATTTGCTGACGATATGATTCTATACCTAGAAGACCCAAAAAGCTCCACCAGAAAACTTCTAGAACTAGTAAATGAATTCAGCAAAGTATCAGGATATAAAGTCAACACCGATAAATCAAAGGCATTTCTGTATATCAGTGACAAATTCTCTGAGAAGGAAATGAGGAGGTGAGGTTAATTTAACTGGACTGTACACTGTGAACCAGAAAGAAGTTTTAAATAATCTTTATTTAAAAAGATAGCAATACATTCTATAATATTATTTGTTTATGGTTTATATGATGTGTATATATACATATATATGTAAAATTCTTCTGACAAGAAGATTTTCCAAATAATAAAAGGTGCATATGTAAGCTTAAGAGCTACCATTATGATTAAATGAAATTTAAAAATACAGAAAAAACTTTACAAAGTTCAAGTTTCAGACAATTATGTTAATTAAAATAAGACCCAAAGGTTCACGTGTAAAGGGATGGTACTACCAGAAGGGTGGTCCCCAGGGTGGTAATACCAGAAGGCTCTGTGGACCTTTAGGATGTGAGGTTTAAGGAAGGTCTTTGGATCATTGAGGGGTATTCTGTGAAAGGAGATTGTGGAAAACTGATCTCTCAGTCTCTCTCTCTGCTTCCTAGATCTAAATGTGACTGGTTTGCTCTTCCACACACTTCTACTATGATATATTGCTCTTCTAGAGGCCTAAAACCATGGGGCCACTTGATCTTGGCACCTTCAGAACTGCAGGTCAAAACAGATCTTTTCTCTAGAAGTTAATTGCTTCAGGTATTTCCTTATATGATTGTGAAGTTGACTAACACAACCACTACTTTAAAAAAAAAAACAAAAACCTCAGGTTGGGGTTGTGGCTCAGTGGTAGAGCGCTTGCCTTGTGCATGCGAGGCCCTGGGTTCGATCCTCAGTGCCACAACTACAACTAAAAAATAAATATTAAAAAAATACTCAAGTTGCGTGGAAAAAATATTATGAATCACCTTTCTCATTTTTAGAATGAGGCTTGTCTAGATGCACATTAAGGTTCACTCTAAGTGCAGACAGATTATGATTCTACAATGATTACCACTCAATCTCCCACCATGTTGGGCCCAAAACTCTGCCTAATATAGGTACTTAATAAATATTAGCTGATTTTACGCAAAGAAGCTCTTTTTGAAATTTATTTTTATCTTATTTGTCCTTTTTAGTTATACATGACAGTAAAATCTATTTTGATATATTTATACAAGCATGGAATATATCTTATTCTAATTAGGATCCCAGTTCTTGTGGGTGTACACAATGTTGAGATTCACTGCAGTGTATTCATATATGTACATAGGAAAGTTATATCAGATTCATTCCACTGTCATTCCAATTCCTATCCTCCCTCCCTTCCCTTCATTCCCCTTTGTCTAATCCACTGAACTTTTATTTTCTTCTCTACCCCCTTGTTGTGGGTTAGCATCCACATATCAGAGAGAACATCTGACCTTTGGTTTTACTGGTATTGGGGTATTTCATTTAGCATGATAGTCTCCAGTCTATCCATTTATTGACAAATGTCATAAAGTCATTCTTCTTTATGGCTGAGTAATATTCCATTGTGCATATACATCATAATTTCTTTATCCATTCATCTGTCATCAATAGGCAGCAAAGCTCTGTTACTTGTACTCTATGAGTGCCTCATATGTGTTAGGATCAGTTCTGAATGCTATGTATACATTAATTCATTTAATTATCATAGTTTTATGAACTGATATTATGATGGTTAGTTGTATGTATTAATCTGACTAGGTTATAGTACATAGCTATTAAAACA